TTTATCTTAAAAAGAATACAATAATATGAAAAATATTATTATTTTGTTAATAAACAAAAATTTTACCTAAGAAAATATTTATTCATTCATTTATTTATTCATTCATTTATTTATTCATTCATTTATTTATTCATTCATTTATTTATTCATTCATTTATTTATTCATTCATTTATTTATTCATTCATTTATTTATTCATTCATTTATTTATTCATTCATTTATTTATTCATTCTTTGAAATTATATCATGTAATTTTATTACCCACGAAAGAGTTGATGCATGCATCATGTATTTTCACTAATATATAGATCCCATACATGATGTCTACCCGTTTAATTATAGTGGACTGTACCACTATGTAGCCTGTAGAGTATTATAGAAAAAATGCGTATGCATAGTGAGATTTATTAGTTCCATTGCCGAAAATATACTTGATGATCCGGTTTGCATATATTTTTGTTTTTCATATATATATTATTTTTTTTTTAAAGTTATTTTTATTATTTATTAATTGTGGTGGTATGATATCGATATCGTATATCCCAGGGGAAAAAGATCATGTATGTTGACGCCGTTTGTCATTGTTCCAGTGATCTGAGTCAAAAATTGTCATTATTCAATTTCTTTCCCAAATAGATTTCATTATATTGACGTTGTCATTCTTAACATAATTATTGTTCTTATAATCATTCCTGTCATTCATATCTTTCCATTAATCGGTATATCAGTACCATCATCATTTTTAGCGGTTCTTATTTTAATTATCGTTTTTATCATTGTTATTATTGAAGAAAAAGTATAAATAAATAAAAGCCCTTTACCCTCAACCTTTTACTCTCACAAAAATATAACTTAACAATCCAAACAATCCTTTCTTAATAATTAAATAAATACCAACAATAAACATATATCATATTTTATTTATGTTCACATCCAAATACATATAAAGGTTTCATAATCATAAAAATAGTTGAATCTCCTTCATTCTTTGTTTTTCACCAGCTGGCATCTTCTGATCCCCCATTCCCTCTCGTCATCCAATATCTTCACTCCAAATAGCAAACAAAGAACTTCTTAAAAACAGCCCATCTGATAATTTTGTTTTCCTCTCATCCATCAGGAAAGACTAATTCCCCTGTCAGAAAATAACTGACATTTGATGTATTATATTAAATTTATTTCTTCTTTTTTTCAACAGCTACAACAATTATTATCATTGATATTATTATCATTGAAGTTCTAAAGAAAAGTGGATCTTCATTCTTTTCGATTCCAATTCCAGTTTAAGTTATAACTGAACATACGTTGTAGGTATACTTTTTAAGCACTTTTGCGTTATGTAAATGGCAGAGAAATATCAATTTCATATAATTTAAGCAATTTGCTAAATAGCATTTAGAGTTTTTTTATCCTGTTATATGTGAACTAGAGATCCGCCAAGGTATGCCTGGACCTGGCTCGGGTGTAATAATTTTTTAAATAATCGGGTTAGGGCCGGTTCTGGCCTAATATTTTTAAATTAGTTTCTATATTTAAATAAATTCGGGCCTGGTCGGGCCGGTAAATTATTTAAAAAAATTTTTGGGTTAGGGCGGGGCCGGCATAACTTTTTAAAAATATCTCAGGTTCGGGGTTGGTTTGAAAAATTATGACTATGTAATTCTTGTCTTCTAAAGAATGAGGCGACTGAAAGGTAAAATATTTAATCTATTCCACATGGTTGAGTTTGAATTAGAGATGTTATATGGGTATGTTTATTTCTTCTTAAACATTTATTTATAAAGGTATGGGATATGTTAATATAGCTTTAGGTGCCTTGACTTGTTTCTGGTTCATAGAAGTAACTAGAAAAAAGGAGCCAGGGAGCCATCGGTGACCCGAGCCACTTGAAAATTTGCCCGATAAAAAAAATTTCGAAAATAACCTACAAAAAAAGTCATTTTGTAATTACTAGTTAAAAACATTTAAAAATATTAGCTAAAAAAAAGGATCGTCATTTAAAATTGTTAGCTAAAATAAAAATTTGGTTAATTTAAAAATTTTTAAGCCTCTTGAGATTGTAAAGGCTAATGAAGCCACTATCGATATGTTAAGATGGGGATGATTAGACATTCCATAGTTATATATCTAATGCTTTTCCTAATAAATTATGAATAATGCTTAATTCATATTTTTTTTTAACTTACAAATTGTAAAACTATACCTATAAAAATAATATAGTTAGCCTACCGAAAATAATTTATACTTATATTGTATAACAATCACCAGACTTAATTATTATATAATTTTATATTTCAAAAACACCTTCAACAGTTTATGATGAATGACCGGTTATAGTAAGGAGTGAGTACGCGGGAAAGGGGAAGAGGTGTGATCGACTACAGATGATTGTCCAGGCATTTCTGGGATGTTGACAGTGAGATCTGTCTTCGGAAGTTTAACTATCTTAACGGGATCTATATCTACCAATAAAAATTTACTCTCAACAAAATACGACATTTATGCACCCCGGGATAGGTTGGGGCTTAAAAAAGATTTAGTCTGAAATATTTTATTTAAGTTAAGATTAGATCATAAATATAAATTTTAACGACATTAATCGCACTCCGGGATAAGCGAGTTTTTAAAGACTTCTTCTAAAATATTTTATTTGAGTGGTGTTTAATTTCTAGGTACGAGTTTAACTCTTAATTCGTTTTTAAATTGCATTACAAAATAATTCTTAGTTCATCCATAATTCACTTATTATGCAACTTTACTAAATATTTTAAAACTGAGACACCAACCGTCGTACGCCGGTTTTAGAGCGACTTTTTATTTATAATTTTAAACAACGAACGGTTTTCTCTGCACCGAAGGATAAGTGCCGCTTTTCTTTAGTTTATGGAAGGGGGGCATGAGACCGTAGCATAGTAGAATTATGGATTTGCTCAAGACAGGGTTATTTATGACAGAAAATTATTTTTATTAAGTCGATTAGGGCCAACGTTGATGAAGAATTTCATATTTTATATGTTATTGTTGAGTCAATAGCAGAGCTATACATGTTTTATCAGATATAATAATCCTCCATTTTTCTATTTTTTTTCACATAGTTATCAAAAAAACTAATCGCATGTTATAAACAAAAATAATCATCTTATATTAAAAAAAATTATTTGTGATTAATTTACTGAAATGACGCTAACAGAAAAAAATATACTATGTTATATTTTTTGAATTATAAAAACAAAAGGACAAAAAAAAGAATAGCATATTGATGATCATATAACAACCTATAAAAACGGCATTATTAGTTGCTTAACTGAAGATAAAGTTCGATTTAGATTTTGTTTTAGAGTTCTCAAATGACTCCCTCAGAAAATTTACTTAATGACATTTATTAATTTAAAAATTATTCTGAATTAGATTTTGTTTTAGGGTTCTCAAATAATGTGACTCCCTAAAAAAAATTACTTAATGCGATTTCTTAATTTAAAAATAGTTCTACCATTTCTAGCTTTACCACCAAAATTAAATATATACCACTAATAATTAATCAAATCACTCAGCAGACTACAAATTAATCTTTCTAAATACTTAAAGTCTTTACAAGTATTGTGGACACAAAAAGTAAAATAAATACGTGATATTAAATATTTGTAAAGCAATGCTGTTATCAACGATAAAAGCACTAGCAATTAATGGAAATATCACCGCTGGTAAAAAACCTAACTCCCTTGAACCAACAATAGTACCTTTTTCTTACCTAGTATCAGATCTAACTCTTCACAAAACAAGTAATAGATGTCAGTTAACCTTTTTGTGTTATATTTCAATTATATATCAATAAGTATGAAGGGACGTTATTGACCTTTACAATCTCAGGGGGCTCAAAATTTCTTTTAAAATTATTTTCATAATTACTTTTACCTTTTTTTTAGTTAACATTTAAAATAACTTTTTTTTTAGCTAACATTATATAAAATTACCTGTTGTTTATAAGCTACCATTATCATTTCTTTTTTTTAGTAGTATAAACAAAGTTCAAAATTTTGAGGAGGCTCTTTAATCCATTTATTTTAACTTAGGTTACTTAGAAATAAAATTAATATTAAAATTAACATATCAAATATAAAATAAAATAAAACAATATATTATAAAAATGGAGGTGGGACGTGGGACTACAAGTTCCCAAAAAACATGAGTAATTATATTTTAAAATAGTGATTTAAAAAAATAGAATTCTTTTGGTTCTGATGTAAGGGCTCTTGTCTTATCGCCTATATTTTTTAAGAACTTTAAAGTTCCGCTTGGCATATGTCCAAGGGAAGAGATAACGATCGGTGTAAAAATATAATTTGTGATTTTGGAATATTTCATTGTTTTTTTTTCTCGACTATATCAACTGGATTAGAATTTAAATTTTTGGGAAAGAAGATACGCATGTGAATCCCAAATTAAGGATTTCCCTAAAGACCAAGGCACGGAAGTTAAGCCATCTGGCCTTACGCCCTCATCTAATGATAAATTTGTAGGCTTCAGAATGTTTGGTATTCGGGCCTTGTAAGAGAACGGCTAATAGCTAAATTAATTGCTGCATACCTTGCATGCTTGCCTTACTCTTAACTTCAAATTTTTAGGGGGCTCGAGCCCCTGCCTTTTCCAATCCCCCTTTCCCCCTCCCCAGTGACGCTACTACTATGATATAATATATGAAATTCTTAAAATATGATATATCGTGTCATATATTGTTTTTTATAATAGATTATTTGCAATATCTATTGAAGTTTTTAAAAGGAACCCTCAAAGGCTGACTAAGCAATTCCCCATAAAATAAGGCCCTATATAAATTTGCCTACGAAGCCGCAGCATTTATAGCCCTCCTCTGAGGAATTGATTTGTAAATATATATAGATGAATGATATAAAAGGTAAAAATATTCCACAAAAATATTTTCATTTATCTACCATTGAGGTTGTATTGAAAATTTAACTATTATTTTAACAATTTCATTGTTCGGCTAACATATGCGAAAAAAATAATCAATTAATGTTTTATGCGTTTTGATGAGATATTATGGATATATATTTATATTTTTCTGAAATTCATTTATGTAATTAGTATTTATATATTATTTTATAAGTTAGGATAAGTCAAAAGAATACAAGTTTATACAACCAAGACCCAAAGGCTTTGTATATTTTAGTGAGACCTTTGAAAATTTAGTTGAATATAATGCTAAGTATAAAAATATGTGTAACATTCAAATAATTATTATATTAGATGGGTTAAGTCTCAAAGTTTTAAATTAATTGATGGGAAGAAATACAAATATGATGGTATATGATTTATGTTATATATATATATATATGTATTATAATATTTCATTGGCACTAGCTTAATGTTTATATTTTCAATTATAAATATTTATAAAAAATATTTTTAAATGTTAATATTCTTAAAAGAATGATAAAATGAAATATTATATTATAAAGGAGTATGGGGTTTGGAAAATGCAATTAAAAATGGTCATGTAGAAGATAATGGATTACTAATGAAGGTATAAAAATATTTATTTTAAGGATTTGATAAAATTTTAATATTCAATTTATTATTTAAGGATCTATATTTAAGGCTCTTAAAACACCAACTATTATTATAAATTGATTACATAAAGGTTAAAATATTGTACATTTGTTATTTACACTATCTTTAGCCTTGGTATTTCTTTTAAACTAACATATTTCCATTTTTTTATATTAAATACAACAGGTTAGATCAAAGCATTATGCCATATCCACACCATTGTTTCAACCATTTCAATTCGATATATATCCATTTATGCTACAGTAATAATAAAAATAATCAATATTTTATTCAATATGCATAAAATAGTTGGTAAAATGGAGTATATAAAATTTGGGTAATTTTTTTGGCAACTTTATAACATTAGAAAATATTTTGGAATTATAGTCAAATATTAATTTGTTAGATTATCTGGAAAAAAAATTTATTTTTATATAAGGGTGAATTTAGTATTTACTAGCATAAAGCTATTTTTTTGAACTTTTATTTAGCCTTAAATGGTATTTTTGATCTAGTCTTGCAAAATGCCACAATTTGAGTTTTTAAAAACGGCTAACTCAGTATTTTAGCCTGAAAAATATTGCCTACACTTTGAAATTGAGCCCTTTAACAAGACTATCTTTAGCCCAAGTTGCTCTTTGAACTGGCATCCCAAATGATTTATCAGAATTGAGAGCTCAAATAAACTTTTGCCTATTTGTATATGCATGTAAAGGCAAATTATTCGATCATAACATATCCATAATTTTCCTGGCACTATTAGGCTGGTTTTCTCAGTATTCATTTTATTGAAGGTCTTTACATCCACTTATTGTAGACCTTTGGTTATATTATATTTTTTATAAAAATAATTTTGGGGTTTTTACATATTTTTTTTTATGAAATGTTTTTTTTCTATAAATTTTGAATTATAGTTATATCTTTATTATTTGTATAGTGAGAGTCATTAAGAATTTTTTATAAAATGCAATTTATTTTTACTAAAACGATTGAATTGTAAATACAACTTTTATTAAACTTGAGAATTATAAAACATATTAATTACCAATAAAAAATTACGCATACAAAAATATATCCTTATCACACTTTTATTTAATTTACGCATTTAAAAATTTAATGAATATTAATTTTATAATATTAGCTTTATTTTTAAAAAATTTATAGGAATCTGAATCCAATGTTGAGAGTTATATAATTAATTTATGGAATTAACAATTTTATTAGCGAAAAGAAACTATAAAGTATATCAGAATTGAAAAAAATTGTAAGGTGTTCAACAGGAAGAATATAAAAACGTATAATCCGTGCTATTTTTTATTGATTGAAAGTTTTCTTTTAGCGTTAACATCATAATTGGGAGAAAAATAGCCAAAGTCTATCCTATGCACAGGATGTTCAATTTGGGGTTTTTTCGGACATAGAAAGTATAGCTGAGATAGTTGTATTTTATTATGTTTATGGCTAATCTTTGGCTCAGGTAGAATCCCTAGTTGGGATCCTCGGTTCTAGCAGAGATCCGTTTTCCCAACTCTTTAAAGAAGGGCAGGGCATGAGAGCCGAACGACGTTAGAGTCATGGCGATTAATGGTAGGAATGTATAATTGGCAAGGAAGCGATGGCGAATATTTAATTAATTTTAAATATATAAATTTTATCCCTTTTTTATAGGGAAATTAAAAAAGCGCAATTATAAATTAAAATAAAATTGGCGCAAAGTGAAAAAAAAGAACCTTTTTCGAAAAGAAGAGTTTTGTTAGCTTTTTTATTTTATATAATTTAGGATAAAACCAATACCCCCTTATACTTCTCGTGACTTCGATTATACCCCCAGATTCAGGATGATCTCAGGGAGCTAACTATCTAGTTTATAATTAATTATCGCCTTGTTAAGGAATCCAAAATGTATAAATCACAGTTGATTATAAGAAATCATAAAAAGCCATATATTTTAATTTTTAATCGATTTAAACTTATAAATCAAAAAGAATAAAATATGAGAAACCATATTTATAACACGAATAAATTAAGTATATTATTATATACATAAACATATACTAGCCATATAAATTTGGAAATATAAATATGTTGAAAATATAATTTATTTCTTAAAAAAAATGACTTAATAAAAATTTTAAAAATAATTCTAACAGTTTATATTGATCATGGGTAGACTATAGATTTAAATCTGATTTCTACGCGATGGAAAGACACATACCCATGCCATCTTAGTCTGCTTCCTTTATCTTTTCCCAGGGAGCTATGCGCATCTTCTTTTAAGCTCTCATTGGTCAAACGATTCTACTTAATAATAATTAATATCCACTTTTTTTATAAAAATAATTCTATTTTTTTCTTCTTCTTAAACATCTCACAAAATTACAAATAAATTGAATTTTTATTCCATTTATTATTATTACTAAGCAATAAACTATGTATAAAATTCGATCAAAAAATTTTTTAACTTTAAAGGTATGAAGTGAAATTTCAAAAACTCGTAAAATGCTCCGGAGCTTACGTTAAACTCATATCTCGAAGGCCCGATTTGAATCTGTTGTTATTCAACGCCAGCACGCCTTACACTCTCATGTTTGGTCCCGACCTTTGTGGCAACGATCCCAAGGTGGGTGAGCTTTATATATATATATTTATTATTTTTTTTTATTATTTATCAAATCCAATAATCTGGCTTTGAAATAGAGTCGTTCGTTCTATATGATATTTCTTAAAAATAAAGAATTTTTTTTAGTAGGGTTTTAAATTTTAGAAAAGTATCTATTAGAGGGCTGGAATTGGCGAGTTTTTTTTTTAACATTCACCTCCCACCCATTTATCTAAAAATTTCGTTTAACCCGCTAGCTCAAAGTTTAAAAATTATTTTAATGTCTGGTTTGGTTCCTTATTTATTTAAATATATTTTTAAATTGGACTTTAAAAATATTCGATATCATGATTAGTGTTAAACGGCTCTTTATGAGCTGATTTTTATAAACGGCTAAATCAATATTTAAGCCAGAATAGGCATAATTAACATGCTGATTGACACTTTATGCCAATTTTTTTTTATATATGTACAAAAAATAAACCCTATATATTTTTTGTTTTCAAGCTGCATTTCGTAATCGGTTACAGGGACCCCTTGAATGGCATATGGGAAGAACGGCATTGCAAAAGATCCGCTCATTCCTTGATCTCCTACTTTCCAACTACAGGACATGATAGCGAATCTCCAGCATCGACCTCGAACTCAACCCTGACCAGGCTATTTACCCTGATTCTTAAGCCCGATAGCACCTTCATGCTTAAAATTGACAACAAGGTCGTCAATTCAGGCCATTTGTCGAGAGATTTTCAGTGAAAAATTTATTACCTCCTAAAAATAAAATAATATTAGGATTCGCGAGTAAGAACTTGGGGCTCTGGAAAATTTAAAAAAAAGAAAGAAATAACGTTAATTTAATAATTGCAAATTAAATTAAATTTTACGAATGTTAATTTAATAATTGCAAATTAAATTAAATTTATACATCGTAAAATTTATCTTTTAAAAAAAACATAAATTCATAGCTCTGCTTTCAGCTCCACGGAAAAAGTCAAAAAGAAAGTCGATCCTCCACCATTTTATTAGTATTATTCATCTTTTTTTCTACTTCTTCATCTACGAAAGTGTATTTGCAGCGATTATAAGAAAGCAATCTTAGTAATATTTAGGCTTAACCCTATTATTTAAACTTTTTACGGAAAAAAATATTTCTGAATAGAAAATTTAGGACAAATAAAAACGTTTAAAATTATACATTTTTTTCAAAAAAAAATAATTTCTGAATTCTTTGTTTTATTATCATTTTTGCGCATTTCTATAATTAAAGGCCAAAAAATATTAATATATTATGTAAAAATTAAAAATTTTAGAGCATTTTATATGAGCAAATCACATTTGGATCTCAATATCTGCTTTCCGTTGATAATGTCGGATTGGACTAATAGTATCCCCGTACCGACTCAACCAGGACAAATTTTTTTTTAAAAAAATTCCTGAACCATTTAACATGATATTAATTCCATATTCTCAATTCCAATCCCGACCCACTTGAAAAATAATATTTTTCCCACACAATCTGAAATAAGACATTGATCATAATTTTTCTACCCGGTCCTGGGTTGAGTTTTCGGGTTTTGGCAAAACCTTTAACCTTTGTCTTACTAGAAGAATATGGAAGGATTTATTTACTTTCTTTTAAAATAAAATGAAATTGAATTTTTTTTTAAAATGTCAATTATGGAATAGTTGCCTTCGATCTGATGCGGATAATCCAAAATACATATGGTTCTTCGAAAGTCCTTTCCGCCTACCACCAGTCTGTGGTATATAAATGAAAATTTTATTTTTATAATATTTGAATAACAATAAACGCCGCTTGCGGATTAAATATTATAAAATTACATAAGATATAAACCATCTAATTAAATAATGTAAACGATGATATCTCAGCGTTAGCAACTTTTAATTTATCTTTCTCTCTTTCTTATACCCTCCTCTCCCTCCTTATATTACAATTATATTTTGGAATTTTTATCTTTGTTGCAATACAAAAAGATTACTGCTTTAAAAAAAAACTCATTACAGGGGATCTTGAATATAATATAATAATTATTGTCGTTACTTCAAATCGATTTTATACTTAGACTTACTGGTGTTGTTAAAAGGCTCGATTTGTGCCTATCTTTAAAAACGGCTAACCCAATATTTTATCTATAACGCAAAGCCTGATGATTTTGCTCGTAGATGGCACAAAGGTTTGGACATCTATCGGCGAAATCTCCAGATTTAGGCAACTTTTTTTCTGGCTACGATATTGAGCTAATCATTTTTATAAAATATAGACTCAAATCGACCGTTTAAACAACACTAATCGTTACGTATAAAAAATTGCGTAGAAGATATTCATATTTTGTTATTTTTAGAAATTCAGTTACATCACTCTCAATGTGTGTTTTTTTTAAAATTATATTTCTCAATATTATATTAGAGATGGAAAGTATTATAATCCCCATATGTTTAGTCAATGAATAAAAAAAATTTTTTTTTTAAAAAAGTAGACCATGGTAAGAATTATAACTATTGACTTGATATTTGGATTTCTTAAAAATAAGTTGAAGCAATAAAATTATCCTTATAACTCGTGCTTTATATTGATATGTAAATTCATCTCTAGAAAAAAAAATATTGATTGAAAATATAACTTAACTTTATAGAAGTCACTTTTTTTCAGAACAAGTTGCAGTTAGTTCCTTCAAAGGAGTCAACTTAATCACTTTAATAATAAATCATTCAAAATATATTTATAAATTTAAATTTTAAACAAAAAACAGATTTTTTGCCAACTACGCATTCAAAACTGTCCCAAAAAAGTTTAAAAGTAAATTCTCCATTACATATTATAATTTCTATTTATTTTAAAAAAAGTAGATTAATATAGGGTTTTTTATACCTGTTTTTTTAATATATAAAAACATATTATATATAATATAAGATCAAACAATCATCCGCAAGCAAAAACGCTTCTTTTCACAGAGATCTTAACCCATTCCAATCTTTGGAAACTATTGTATAATTTTTTATTATAAATAAAAGGCGTGCGATATTATTTGCCTTCATTTTTTTAACAAATTTTTTTTATTAGTTTTAAGATTTTTCAATTTATTTTAAATCTGTATAACCAGGGAACTAATGTTATGTCTAAAGGTATAAAATTACGAATCAACGTGAATTAAGACCTAAAAGGATTGGATTCTAATAAATTGACTTATTATAGATGAGAGAAGAGTTAAGAGAAGTCTAATTAAGGGCTTGTAAATGATGTATTTAATCTTTTATAGAAATTGTTATTGTACAATACTAGAGCTTTTTAAAAGTAAAAAAATTATTACGGAATTTAAATTTTCAGAATTTTCGAATAACATTCCTGAATCCCAGAACATCCGAAAATTGATAAACGGAACATTTTTAATCTTCAACTTGGAATGAAAAAGAAAAATTTGTCGGATTCTATGAACATTTAGGGAAAGAAAGCATTGTTCTAGTTGAATTTTTTGGAACAACTTATTATTATTACACAACCCCCCCCCCCTCTTACCCACAAAGATATTTGAGTAAAATCGTTTTATATTTACCGATTGTTGAATCAACTGAGATATAATATTTTTTTTTTAAATAAAAAATAATATTTAAAGTCCGCTATAGGGCTTGAATTGTGGTCCATGGATGAAGGCATTTTATTCGATAATTTTATAATAACCGCCGAAAAACGGGTTTTGGAGAAATGGACCGATGATACCTTCTACGTTAAGAGACGAAGAGAGGAAGGACTGGTAATTTATATTTTAAATACGCTTATTTACCCTGAATATATTGATCCCCATCAATCTTCCCGTAACATCATGAAGGAAGGACCGTTTTTGAGACCCATATCTTGGGACGGGTAAGAAGCCAGCCCGCGCGCGTCTCTAACTTTAGAACCTGATGATGCCCAATATAAATTTTAAGGTGGGCGAGTTCCTAAGGCAATTTCAAGGGCCGGACATAACTTAGCGCAAATTGTTTTGCTACTAATAATTTTAAATATAGTTTTTTGATAATATAATATTTATTCTTTTTTACCAAAAAAAGATTAAATGAATATAAATAAACAACAAAATTATTAATAATAAATATATGTACACAGATACAATCACCTTCTTGTTAGAAATGTCACCTGTAATAAAAAGGATTTATTAAATTTATAATATCCTTTTTTTTATATCATTCAAAAATCTTCTAAAAATATGTAGGGAATACAATTAAGGTACTCTAATTGGCGATAAAATAGACTTAAACAATAATTAACTTATCTAATTTACCATATTCATTTAAATTAAAAGTATTGATAATTTGTCTATTATATAATTTTTAAAAAAATCGATCTTTGTTGGTCTTAAGTTGGACGCTGGGACCTTATACAATGAATAGCGTTGTTAAACGGCTCGTTATGAGCCGATTTTTAAAAACGGCTAACTCAATATTTTATCCAGAAAAATATTCTGCGAGCCTGAAGATTTTGCTCATAGAAGGAACAAATATCAAGACACCTATAATCGAAATCGCCAGACTTAGGCAATATTTTTCTGGCAAAAATATTGAGTTAACCGTTTTAAAAAATCGGCTCAAAACGAGCCGTTTAACAACACTAACTATGAAGGACTTCTACATGTAGACCAATTTTCTAGGGCAGACTTTTCTCATTAATTACCTTTAGGAATATGGTAAAATAAATGTTAACTCATTTTTTTTTGCATGTGATCGAATATTGGAACTAGAGACCTTCATGGCTAGGGTTGGCTCGCAGCCCAATATTAAATTTTATAGCTGGTCTGGGTTTTTTGAAAATTTTTATTATTGGACTTTGGGCCTTAAATTTTTTGAAACTTATTAAGGGCTTGGGAATTTTTTTAACTATTAAATGGGCCAAGGCTTGTGTCTAAAAAATATTTTCATTATTTTTTTAACTATTAAATGGGCCAAGGCTTGTGTCTAAAAAATATTTTCATTGCTGGTCTGGGCCGAGCTTGATCAAAAAAAAATAAAGCCCACAAAAATATCTGATCAGAACCGCTTCATTATTTTTTACCCGGAAGGTTATTGATTTAATACACCTTTAATAACATCCCCCCCCCCATACATTATTATATCCTTTATAGGATATGGTATTAAAAAAAATTGAAATAAGAATAATCGTCATATAAGCCTTATTTTAGCAAAATAAATGGTTATTTTTTTAAAATATTTGCTTTTGAATTATAATTATATATGATAGCAATAATTTTTCTATAACAAACTTAAAGCATGGTTTGCTGGTCACTTTCGCTTTGTGGGCCCAGGCTTATCCTTTCCTGTGGTTATTATACCTGACTCTTCTTGGTCTTCCCATGTCAATTTTTATAATTTACTTCAACACTCCAACTTCCTACGGTCATATCGAACGTAAGTTCTTTTTTTCTTAATATAAGTAGTGGGGGAGGGGTGTTAACCATACATAGTCAATATTCATTTTATATTTACATCATCAGGGATGGGGGAAATCACTGTGTCTTAAGCAATTAATTTTAAATTCACAGAGCTTAGGTACAATAATATTACCGTAATACCTTGAGTAATCTGGGATTACCAATGATTTCCAAAATAAGTCTAAAACTTTAGGCTTAAGTTGAATAACATTTAAACCTATTAGAATTTAAATAATCATAAATTAGTTTCACTATTATTTATATAATATAATTGCATCACATGTTTATTTTTTCCTTAAAAAAAATTTAATCATTAGATACTGATGAGTATGATGAAGATTATTTTCTTGACGGGACGCTAGAGCCAACAAATATTTTTGACTACGATGATAATATGAATAAAGAATATATGATTGATTAAAAAATTATTTATAAAATTATAAATTTTTTTAAAGCCCCTTTTATATATATATATAATATAATTTTTTTTTTAAAAAAATGTTATGCTTGCTATGATATTATAACTGTAATCATAAGGGAAAAAAAGATTAGATAGATGATTTAAGGTTATACATTTCTGAAGCCCATATTTATATTGTATAAAAGAAATTATTTTTATAGCAATATACCTTTATAAAATATTACCTGTTTATTAGGTCATAAACTAATATAACCTCATTCAATTTAAACTATAGTTGGTGGGTAATATCAACAATATTTTTTTTAAAGTAAATCAAATAATTTAGATATAGTTTTAATAAAAGAAGCAAATTCTTAGGCTTAGTATATGAAGCTGAAGGCCATCGGCTTTATAGGAAAAAAACATTTCTAGACCTGGTCAAGGATTGAAATTTTTAAGCATGTGGATTTTTTAAAATTATACCATTTTATGGCCCAAGTCAATTATGTAATTTATTTACTTTTTCATATATTATATTCATACATTTACAAATTAGTTATTTATAAATTTAATTAATCTATAAATTTCTTAAGCAATGCTCTTGATTTTGTTGAAGTCGATGAGCCGTTTTGCTTACAACTAAGGAGTGATCTTTTTGTCAAGCTTGATAATACAATACCTGTAAAATATTGATGATTATATAGAGATAAACTGATATCACTTTTTTCCAATACCGCGATTTAGCGTCCTTTAACTAGCTCAATTTGGCCGATTTATAAAATTTATATTAAAATTTTAGCGAAAAGGCAAATTATTCAAAGCTTGAAAACATTAGGGCTTTTATCTTATTGACGAAATCTCTGGAAAATTCATCACTAAACGATAAAAATAGAGATATAATTTAACATAATGTATCCCTTGAGCGACATGGCGGCATTTTGTGCATACTATTTAAACAAAGTCTTAGGTTACTCATATAATGCTATATATTTAAGTGAAAATTCTAGAAATCAAAAATTTACCTTTGCCTATTTCAACTACTATTACGTTCTCTTTATTATATACTTAATTTTTCATGGACAGGCTAAATAAAATAGATATTATATATAATATGTTTATTAAAATATATATGTAAAAGATTTCCCCCCTTTATTATTGCTGATCTTCATCATTCTCCTAAATCTGACTGAATTACAATAGTTTCACTGGGCAAAATACACATTATGGGAAATGGCGCAACAATAAAACAATTTGTAGTATTCAATTGTATAAAGAAATCAAACCCCCTCTAGCTCACACATTACTTATTTATTTGGTGATAGATTTTACTATTCCTGTGCTATTATATTAATAACAGTTTTAATCATCAGATATTTTTATTTAAGCCGCGTATGGGTGACGCTGAAGGGGGCAGGCTTCATAGTTTACATGTATTGGGTCGCAGAGAGGTAAAATATAACGAAATTGCAGACGATTCTCGACTTAAAGGAATATATAATCTGCAACTGAGATTACCTTTCTGAAATTCAAAAATATTTAAGATATTACGAAAACCAAACTCCCATTACGAAATCCATATATCCCGTCAAAAGTCTTGCTTTAAAATCCAACGATTTGAATCATGTACACAGCGAACTTAACCACTTACACTCCTTTCGAAAACTTTCATCAAAATATACTCATAGTCTTTCTTCCAGAGTATCGGAATTGTCTTTGAATATATTATCTAGAGTGGCGCGACAAAGAAATAAAAAGCACAAAGCCACTAGAAAAACCTTATCCCTGTTTTGCCAAATATTGGGCCAATACTTGATCTTGAGCCATATATACATTTACAACTTTCGATATTTGATCACATGTTCCTCCCTGAATCCCATTTCTACAAATAAAAATTGCTCTTATTACAATAAACTTCAAATCGTTTTCGTTTATTTGGAGTTGATATGTTTCTCATGCTATATAATGGTGTTCGTTTTATGTGACGCCAATCTGAGGATAGCTTTAGGGAAAATGATCAAGGCCACATTTTGTTAATAAATAAAACATGTTTGTTATAATATATTTATAATCAATGTAAGTTAAACCTTTTGATGTTACATTGTATACGTGTGGTAAATAGCGTCTATTCGGGTTATCACCAAAATTTAATTCTTTATTTTTTTTAAGGAGAAATCAATTATAAAATATGATAGAATTATAATTAAGGATTATTTTGAAGAATGAATAACAATGTTATAATAATTTTTTGCCATCCTTAATTTTTTGAATATTTTAAATAATGCTCTTTTTTTGCACCCATTAGATTGTAATATTATATAATATATGAAGGTCTTATTTATTTTCTGATATACGCACAAACAAGATACATGATTGCGCAATAAAATTCAATAGGAATATCTATAAATTATGAAATTATAACACATTTTCTTTGTTTTAGATTCCATCCATTTATATTTCAGAGACCTGCAGACCTAAAAATTATGTTTGTCAAATTGTAATAGTAATGATTTTGATTATATAAAATAAAATAAGTTTGAATAAAATAAAAAATTTATTTTTTCGATTAACTTTAGAAAAAAAAATTATAATAAAAATTATTGGAGTGATTTGACTACTTGATCACATTATGAGAAAATGGGTTTAAAAAAACCATAACCCCCTTCCCTTTGTTGAATATAAAATATGATAGTTAGTTTAAATAAGTTTCATGAGCAAAATATTATTTTTTTTGAATATACATTCTTCCCACCGACATCAGGAACAAGTTTTCCAGGTTTCTTATCTTACAATGACGCAATTTTTTTTTGAAAATTAAATAAAAATATACAACATTGAATCAAACTTCCAACCTAAATCTACCGCGATTGTAAAAATTTCCACAAAAATCCTCCACATCATTTATTTGAAATGTTTTTTTTGTTTTATTAAACAAAAGAAAAGTGTCTAATTTGTAATGATTATATTTTCCATTTCGGGTAGATCATTAAAATGTAACTAAGTTAAATAGTATAGTTAGCTTACTTGAAATGTAACTAGTTACAGTTACAAAAATATAAGAGTTATATTATAATTACCTTAATTTATCTCGAAAGATGTTAATTTATAAATATAACTTAAGACATTAAGGAGATATAAAGTAAAAAAGGTATAAAGCGGGGAAAAAGCCGTTTTAACCCTTTTTAAAAATCCGATTATTTTTTAATAGGTAAAAAAAAAAATTTTTTTTTAAATAAGTTCTTTATTTATATACTCCTTACGTGGGAAATTTCTAGTTTAAATTTTATATTTATATATAGAAAAAATAATGATTCCATATTGCATCTCTTTGAGCGTCTAAATGTAAAAATTATTGTTCTTATTATAATAAATATTATCAGATTCTATGTGTAATCCACTAGTAATAGAAAGTATATCATAAAAACTAAAAGAAATAGACGTTAATTTGACCATATTCGGAACATAAAAATGAGGAATAGATAAAACCTATATTGGTTTGATTAAAATTATTATATAATTGCATTGTAGTGTCAAATTAAATCAATAAGCGTTCTTAGTGGTTATAAAATAACATGCAAGTTAATGATATAAAATTAGTTCTTAGGACTTTAAAGGAAGAAGAGAAAAAAAATTTCTTCTATATTTTACTTAATTTTTTTAGTGGGCATCATAGAATAATGCAGCCTAAAATATACAAAAATTATTCAGTTTACAAAATATATCTGGTGAAGTTAGTTTAAGATTTTTTAGCTTAAATTTTTCTATTTGAAGGTGGGCAAGGATCCATTTTACAATTACAAAGGCTTATCAAACCGTACTTCGGAAAGTTATCGAATTTCGTAAAATATAATTTTATGCTATTTATATTTTCTTCCTACAGCACCCCCCCCCCCCCCACCTTTTTTCTTAAAGAAAAAATAATACAATGCAACATTTATAAACAATAATTTGAAATAAAAATAATTAAAAGTTTAATAATTTTTTTCGATATAATGACTAAAAGGAAAAATCTTTGGGGAACAAAGTGGATATTCATTATTTTTTGCTTCACTGCCAGAAATTTTTATTATTTCCGATGATTCCCCCCTTAGGCATAACCAGGAAAAAATTTCCCTCCACTTAGGAAAATTTTTCTGTCCTCGTAAATATCATAATCTACTATTTTTTAAATTCACCTTCCCCCCCCCCCCCCCTTTACATGCATTCTCCATCCCCCTATCAAATCAAAAATGTATACAATATATGTTATTACTCTAAAAAGTATATTTAATGCGATGGACAAATTTTGAGATTACATTTGTTTTAACAAGAAGGCGAAATAATTTATTTTATTTTTTTTAAATTTTTAATATATAAATATTACCCGAGCCTAAAGATTTTGCTCATAGAAGACCCAGGACAGCTATTAATGAAATCTTATCTCGAGGTTTAGGGAAATATTTTTCTGGCGAAAATATTTAGTTAGCCATTTTTTTAATACTCGTCTTAAATCGAGTCGTTTTTAAATGCATTACATAATTATAAATATAATAAACAAATATAGGGAATAGATCAAAAAATTGTGAAAAAACGTTAGGTGGGAATTGTCGTAACCATAGGGGCTTTTAAAAAAATATTTTAATAGCTCGCATTTTTTTGGCTTGAGGATAGGGAATTTTACTCCCCTCCCCTGGCTTCGCACCTGAAAGCCAAGAAATTTATATAGCCATTTATAAATATTATGCATGGCTATTTTAATAACATAAGATCAGAATTTGTTACATCATGTCATTTAAACTTTACAATTTCTTTATTAATGCAAAATCGGGTATCATATTTAGTATTTTGTTTAATTATTTTTAAGGCTTAAATAGAAGGATGCCCTATATCTTAACAAAATAATTTAATGAAATTTATTTATATAATTTGAGTTATCAATTTTATGCTTGCCTTTGAATTATTTTTTTAAATAATAAAAAAAAAAATTCTTTCAGCCCTCATTCAAGTTATTTTGTAAGTAAATACATTATGTAAGAAGAAGTTTATTTTATAATAATAAATAATTATAAATTTTCCATTATCTATCCAAAAAAATATAATATGTTTAATCAAAATTTCCGACAATTCAA